CACCAGAATAACCTGGCGAGTGACGATTTGTACACGAGTCATTGCGTGACTCGCATTTACAGCTTGGTCGCCAATTGTATATATGTATATATATATATATATATATATATATATATATATATATATATATATATATATATAGGTCTATAAATAAATAATTATGTATATATTTACATATTGTTTGTATTGACTACTTACTCATATATCTAGCTGCTTAATTTTAAGGTATGTTTTTTTAACATTGGTAACTGTGTCCGGTTTATACGCCATTTTTGGTACATATGAAAAACTCAGCAGGATAATTTTGATGAGGTTGTTTCGCTAGTATTATTAGCCTCATCCTTAACCTGTCGACAATCTTTCGTTGACCATTTTCCAGAGCCTTGAAATGACCCTAAACCTAACCTTGTTTCCAACAACGATAAGGACGAAAACAAATACAATACTAACAACCACGTAGCATAGTTATTCCACGATTTTGATAAGAACTTGAAACCTTCAGTCTCCATGCATCAGACCCCTGTCATGAAAGCTGCAATACAATCGACATGACACAAAGCGGCTGATGTACATGCGCTGAATATTATTTTTTTTAGCAAGTAACAGCTAACAGTATTTTGTCTTTTAGGTTTTTTTTAATTTATCTTTACATAATAGTAACAGGACTTAGGGCACAAAAATTGCATTTTATTTTAATCAAATTTACAAAAAAAACACTTTCCATGTAAATTACCCTTTTAGTGACTTTTTTCCCGTGACTTTATTTCAGTAGCTTTATTCCCGTGACTTTACTCCTATGACTTTTTTCCTGTGACTTTCTTTTTTCTTATTATCTCATTTTTCTAACTATTTTCCTGAGATCTGTTTTGACTGCTTTCATATACTACCCCATCATTCTAATCGAATATACCTTACATATTCAAGTACCCCAGCTCCTTCTGTTAACGAAAGGTCCATGTGTCGAAATTACCTTCAGTCGTTGTTTCCACTTTTCCTTTCCTCACCACAACAGTCTCCACTATCCGTGACAATTAACGATTCATTAGTCACGTGACCTTTAACGGCTTGTGGGCGTGATTGCCTTTCCAGGTACAATCGCAAGGTGAGGCCATTAAGATAAAGGCTAATTACAGCCCACCATAGGCGCGCGGGGGGGGGGGGGGTGTTAGAGGTAATTGCTCAGCAATAAGTTAGTTTGATGATAGAGTTTGTTATAGTGGCGTCTGATTTAGGTGCTTTGTAGCAAGGCGAACGGGTCCCGTTTGGAGTGGTAGCGTCTGGTATTACGTAACGTTCCCTTTTCAAACATGTCCGTCTATAGGGCAAGTAAAGTAGAGTTCACTTGTTTCTGTGACCTCGGCATATGAAGGGATAGTGTGGTCAGCACTATGCCCAGCCGCCATTACTTTCCCTGACGTGAGTTTGGTACTCATCAGAGCTGGGTGGACTCAGGGACGGTCTACTGACTTGAACCCGAATTCGAACTCGAGACTTACGGGTTAGCAATCCAGCTCTCTACCGCTAGACCATTCCGTCTGGTGTCTGGTATTACTTAGGGGATACTTCATTAAAGGATGGCGTGGCCTAGCGGTAGAGCGCTAGACTGCTGGTCTGGAGTTCGAATCCGGGTCCAAGTCAGTAGAACGTCACTGAGTCCAGCCAGCTCTGATGGGTACCTAACTCACGTTAGGGAAAGTAAAGGCGGCTGGGCATTGTGCTGGCCACACTATCCGTTTTATTCCGAGGTCACTGATTGGGGGAGGGGCGACATTGAAAAAAGCACAGTGGCTTGTTAGGAGAACGGGTTGGAATGGGGGGGGGGTGCACTGAAAGAAATTGATTCTGTATTTAATCTACACCCCCCCCCCCTGAGCCTTTTTGTTCAACGCCCACGCCCATGGTCTACAATGGTACAATGTAAATTTCTGTACTGTGACAACACTGAGTTAGCCAACACACGATCAACACAAACATAAACATAAAACTACAGTAAACTCCGTCATCATTGCTTTGTCTCTCAAGACACATCACATCAAAGCATAACATCACACACACATGTATCCGTCATCTGCCGACCGGATTTAAATAACAAGCCAGCAAACAAAACACAGCACACTGATGCTTATATGACTCACCACTTTATAAACTACACGCGTGAAACTTGCCCTGGCATGTTCAACTCAACTCAACTACACATACAAGCTGTAGCATTAACACTACCCTGGTCGCATCATGACAAATGTACACACATATGCATCAAATTATGGTATATTTACCTCTTAAACTTCACTATAATTACTTTGAACTACACTTAATCTTAACTACACGTGACACTCACAACACGAAATCCTCGTCACCTAATCTTCAACACATAATCCTCACTCCACTTAATCCTCACTGCTTAAATATCATTACACTTAATCCTCACTACACTTAATTCTCTACTCTTGAATGTCAGCACACTAAATCCTTACTACACTTAATCCTCTACACTTAAATATCATTACACTTAATCCTCACAACACTTAATCCTCACAACACTTAATCCTCACAACACTTAATCCTCACTACACTTAGTTATCAGCACTTAATCCTCAGCACTTAATCCTCACTACACTGGACCCTCACAACACGTAATCCTCACTAGTTAATCTTCAGCACTTAATCCTCAGCACTTAATCCTCAGCATTTAATCCTCACTACACTTGACCCTCACTACACTTAATCCTCAGTAGTTAAACCTCGGCACTTAATTCTCAGCACTTAATCCTAAGCACTTAATCCTCACTACACATTGATCCTAACTACACTTGCCTTCACATTCCTAACGAAACCCGTGAAATATTGCGATCACATAATCGTGGTAAGAAAAAAAATCTTTTGGTTGTAAAAAAATAAAATAAAATCGATGAAGCATGCAGTTAACATTCAGCGAGGCTCAATATAAATATAAATCTAACATTCAGCTTCGCTCAATACATTTCTAACATTCCTGGTCAAGCCAACACAAACTATGTCGTCGGTCTGTGTATGCCTGTCTGTGTTTGTATGTGCAGATTTATGATAGTATTTCTATGTATGTGTCTGTCTAAGATCTGTATATGCACATCAGTGAATTGTTGATCGTGTCTGCAAGTGTCTATCTGTCGGCCGATGTTTGTCTGCGTGCCTGTATTTGCCTATTTTGTCTGTGCTTGTCTGTATTTGCCTATTTTGTCTGTGCTTGTCTGTATTTGCCTATTTTGTCTGTGTGCCTGTATTTGCCTATTTTGTCTGTGCTTGTCTGTATTTGCCTATTTTGTCTGTGCTTGTCTGTATTTGCCTATTTTGTCTGTGTGTCTGTATTTGCCTATTTTGTCTGTGCTTGTCTGTATTTGCCTATTTTGTCTGTGCTTGTCTGTATTTGCCTATTTTGTCTGTGTGCCTGTATTTGCCTATTTTGTCTGTGCTTGTCTGTATTTGCCTATTTTGTCTGTGTGCCTGTATTTGCCTATTTTGTCTGTGCTTGTCTGTATTTGCCTATTTTGTCTGTGTGTCTGTATTTGCCTATTTTGTCTGTGTGTCTATATTTGCCTATTTTGTCTGTGCTTGTCTGTATTTGCCTATTTTGTCTGTGTGCCTGTATTTGCCTATTTTGTCTGTGTGCCTGTATTTGCCTATTTTGTCTGTGCTTGTCTGTATTTGCCTATTTTGTCTGTGCTTGTCTGTATTTGCCTATTTTGTCTGTGCTTGTCTGTATTTGCCTATTTTGTCTGTGTGTCTATATTTGCCTATTTTGTCTGTGTGCCTGTATTTGCCTATTTTGTCTGTGCTTGTCTGTATTTGCCTATTTTGTCTGTGCTTGTCTGTATTTGCCTATTTTGTCTGTGTGCCTGTATTTGCCTATTTTGTCTGTGCTTGTCTGTATTTGCCTATTTTGTCTGTGTGCCTGTATTTGCCTATTTTGTCTGTGCTTGTCTGTATTTGCCTATTTTGTCTGTGTGCCTGTATTTGCCTATTTTGTCTGTGCTTGTCTGTATTTGCCTATTTTGTCTGTGTGTCTGTATTTGCCTATTTTGTCTGTGCTTGCCTTTCTCTGACGGTCCTAACAGACTAAACATTTGTCTGCTCCCGTCTCTATTGATTCTTTATAGTCCTGTTTTTGTACTAGACATCCACTCACAACCTCTCATCACCATGTCAACCCTACTGTATCAAAAAGTCAACCCTACTGTATCAAAAAGTCAACCCTACTGTATCCACTTGCCCCCTGTCTACTGTATCACTATGTCATCCCTACCGTATCACCATGTCAAACGTACTGTATCACCATGTCAACCTTACTGTATCACCATGTCAAACGTACTGTATCACCATGTCAGTCCTACTATATTACCGTCTAACTCACAATTTGTTAGGCCTAGAATCGTCTAATTCACCTCACACTCACCTCTGGGTTAACAAAGGACATGTATGGTTTCTGTGTATCTATCTTTGTATCTTTTAGTGTATCTATTTTACATAAAGCACACAGATGTGTTATTTGGTTGTATTGTTACATTGAGATAGTACCGGGCATGTATTTTCAATATATAACTATATATAACTATATGTATATATATATATAACTATATGTATATATATAACTATATATATATATATATATATATATATATATATATATATATATATATATATATATATATATATATATATAAATAAATAAATAAATAAATATATATATATATATATATATATATATATATATATATATATATATATATATATATATATGTGTGTGTGTGTGTGTGTGTGTGTGTGCGTCAACAACTTAATTACAGTCATGTGACCTTTTCTGCCTCCCCCAACTCACGCCCAGGGCTAAGTCTCCCCTCGCGAGAAACGACCCCCCCTCCCCATCCCTTTACACACATACTTGCGACCCGCGAGGCATCAAACGACCCAAGCATGAATACTTGCGACGACCGAAGCAGAAATACTTGAGCACTGTTGCCGATCCGTGAGGACCGGGGTATCGATCCACGCGGTATCGTGTCGCCGTGCACGTGCGTGTTGAGTATTGATGTGCTCACCCGGGCCGTGCGTCGTTCACTGTCTACCGGTGCCACAGACCAGTGTCACAGTGGATTCATCCACGTCTAGCTCACGGATACGTGGATAACATCGACCCAGTTGTTTTTATTCTGTGGATATTTTTTTCTTAATATTCGTACTGTGTTTACAATAAGGATGTAGATTTTTAAATATGTAAATCTAAAGGTGAGTAGTAGATCTATATTAGTTTAATTAACAATTTTAATTTTTTAAAATTTTGATTTTACGACATTAGGATTTTTACACTTCGATACAGCTAAAACTTAATTAAGTAATTTCATTCAGAAGCCTCAGGACACGGTGTGGAGTCAGGCCGAAAATAATTTCCGTGAAATCCAATTTTAGATATGTGTCAATCTATTTTTAGAACAGACATCGTTCTATTTTAGATAATTATATATTGTAGATCATTCAATTGGGGTTATTTTATGTCCTTTTAAAAAAAGCATGCTTTGTAAAAATGGGATTTAATTATAATAAATTTACAACTGTTTGATGTTGATAAAGTGAAAATTATTTGATGAAAGGATTTTTAATGAAACAAATAACAGATTTTTAAAAAGTGTATTAATATTTGATACAGCCAGACAGTGTTTACTTTAAAAAAAAAAAAATTTCGAAATCAGCGTTTTTTTTTTTTTTTTTTTTTACCTGTTTGTTATAGAAGTGTGGGACAGAGAGGTCTTAAAATGTTTTCCTTCTGGTTTGATGGTGTTCAGTGTTATGAGATCAACACTTGAAACAAATAATTAAAATCTGTAGTGTAGTAGAAAAATGAGTAAAGAAATAAATAACAAAATATAAAGAGTTTTCGGTAATCTGTCTTGTAAGACACTCATGAAATAAGGCAAAAAAAATATATAAAGACTTTTTTCTTGTAGTCTGTTTTGTTAGGCACTAAACTAACCTGTTTTATAGACACCAATCTAACCTGTCTTGTAGTGTCTAATCTAACCTGTCTAGTAGACAACTAATTTAAATTTAACCTGTTTAGTTAGACACTAAAATGACCCGTTTTATTAGACACTAAAATGACCCGTTTTGTTAGCAGTAGTCAGCATTGTCAGACTATTTGATATCATATGCATATTTGGCTAGACATCATATGTTTTTCTGTCTGTCGTATGTATGGTTGGTCATCATACGACCATCACATATTTTGTTGACCATCATAGGTCATAAAGTCTATTAGATATATAGATAATCATCATGTCACATGGTCCATCACATATGTTGTTGGTCGACATTTTTATGTCTCTTACGTGTATGTTTGGTCATCATATGTCATATTGCCCATCACATATGTTGTTGGTTATCAAAGGTCATGAGGTCTAGCACATATAAAGATAACCGTCATATGTCACATATGTTGTTGGTCAATATTGTTATGTCTGTCACCTGTATGGTTAGTCATCATATGTCATATGTTCCATCACATATTTATTGGTCAACATACATCAGGTCATAAAGTCAATCACATATTTTTTTTTAGATTTCATAAATCATATGGTCGATCACATCTATACTAGTCTTCATATGCCGTATGGTCCATTATTTTTCATTTAATGTCGTATATGTAGCATGACAAATTTAATTGTTCATTAAATATCATATGGGGCATGACACATTTTATTGTTCATTAAATATCATATGGCCATGACAAATTGTATTGTTCACTGAATGTCATATAAGCCATGACAAGTTGTATGGTTCATTAAATGTCATATGGGCCATCACCACTTTTATTTTTCATTGAATATCATATGGCATCACACATTTTATCTTTCCTTAAATGTCATAATATATTAAATCATAGTCTATCACATATTAGGCAGACCATATATATACGTCTTGAATACATCTTCTTACAAAGTAAGATCAATACAGTTTTATACATTGGGAGCCTTTATTCCCTAATTAACATTCCAATTATAATTTTATTAATTGAGAAATACACGGTGCCTTGACTTCTATTTCATTAAAAAAATCGTTAATTAACATTCTGCTTTAATTAATTGAGCCGCCCGTCTCCGCCTTCATTCGCCTGCGGGGTTTGTGATAACGAGTAAAAAAATTGTTTGAATAGCTAATACAAACATATTGTTAAGATAGGGAGGTGGTAGCATTATGAGTAGAGTGAACTACACACATTCGCTACTGACACATTATCATCAGATTTAACAGCGGCTGGGTTGTTCTTTATATTGCTTCGTCAACCACAGGAATGGGTAACCCTAACCCCAGGGCCAATTGAAAATTGAGTTACTGCTACCGAGCGGTAGAGTGCTAGGCAGCTATCCCGAAAGTCTCGAGTTTGGATACGGTTCGAGTCTGTAGGATGTCGCTGAGTCAACCCAGCTTTGATTGGTACCCGAACCTTTTTAACAACTTTTTTAATACATGTTTTTAAAGTTAATAATTTTACACCACACATTTAAAAAAAAAAATGGCAAAAAACTTTATCTCATTACTATTTCAGTATAAAATAAAAATCTCTTCTAATTCCTTTTACTCATACTTAAAAATAAAAAAAAATAAATAAAAAAATCCCGACTCAAATCTTTTATTAATGCCAGCGAAAACGTAATTTCTACATTAGCACGAGACCATAAAAAATTGTTTACGTCGAAAAAAAAAAATCGGATAACTCCACACCTCGTTATGGTTTGTGACGTGTTGCGTATTATCGATCTCTAGCTCTGTCTTCGCTTCATTGACTCGACAAGATTCCAGATCTTTCGCTTGCCATCGGGTTCCTTGTGGCTTCGTCCTTTCCCACAGGCGAGAGCTCTGTTCTATTTATAGAAATGACTTTTTTTTCTTCATCCTAAGCGTATTTCGATTTTTTTTTTGTCCTGTTGATATAAACAACAGAAAAGTTGTGACAAAGTGTAAATAAAGTATTGTGCCTCACCCGCACACACACACACATACACACACATCCATTCTCTCTCACACACTATCTCACACACATACATCCAAAGTCACACGCACATTCAAAACAACACGCATACACACATACAAACTCTTCCGCACACTCACATATATACACAAAGTCACACACTTATTCACACACACACTCACATACAAACTCATACTCACATACAAACTGACACTCACATAAACTCACAGGGACACACACACACACATTCACACACACTCACACGCACACACAAACTCACACATACATAAACAAACTCACCCTCACACACTCACCCCCCACCACCACACACACCATAGGATTGTAGTTGTAAGCCGAGGTACCCGCAGTCTTGTGAAACGGTTGACATGGGAGGTAATCGATGAGTTATCCTTGACGACAGGACAAATCTACCTTAGGGTCTAGAACAGAGGGGAAAATCTTCCATGTTGATGTGTCTTGTGTGGGGAATAATGTGTGTGTTATATAGGCGCTAGTGTGTTATATGAGGGTGAGTGTGTTGTTTTGGTGTGTGTTATAAAGGTCTAAGTGTGTTATATAGGAGAGCGTGAGTTATATGGGAATTAGTGTTGTGTGTTTGTGTGTGTTATATAGATGTGAGGGTGTTAAATGGGAATTTATGTTGTGTGTTGGTGTGTGTTATATAGGTGTGTATTATATAGGAGAGCGTGTGTTCTATGGGAATTAGTGTTGTGTGTTGGTGTGTGTTATATAGCCATGAGGGTGTTGTGTTGGTGTGTGTATGTTATATTGGCGTGTGTGTGTTCTATGCGAGTCAGTGTGTTATGTCGATGTATGTTATAACATAGAAATGAGTGTGTGTTATACTTAAGCGACTGTGTTCTGTTAGAGCGAATGTGCTATATTATAGACAAACGTCTGTGATATATAGGAGCGAGTGTAAAGGAGTAAGGTTTCCTTTCGGAGTCAGTACGCTATGAGGGTCGGTTATGGATGTTTATGCGTTACAAAAAAAAAAAAAAAGAACTGTCTAAAATAAATAAAATACATTTATGTAGTAACATAATTTTTTTCCCCATAAAACCATGTGTGTATATTTAAACATGCTCAAACATTTTGAAAAAGCTAATTTGGATTAAAAAGTGTTTACATCAACGTTTTCATGCGATTTAAATTGTAAACATTCGCCTAGTAAAAAAAAAACACAATTTTATCAGACTGATTCGCCAAAACGTAGATAACCTAAAACTAGATTTAAAACTGCCTTCTCTTATACGCAATATCTAAGCATGCGCGTTTCGCCGAAAACGTACATCAACATCCATCTTGATCCCTTTCAAGATGTCCAGTTCATGTCTGGCACGTGTTTACAATTTGACACGTGGACATTGTTTTGGTCGGACGACATTTTGTCGGACATTGTCCGTGGCTGACACTCGCTTGACGGATTGCTTTTTCCAATCGATTCGACGTCTGCCAATATTTCAGGGGATTCGCGATGGCGCCCCCCCCCCCCCCCCCCCCGCACAATGATTGGGAAGAACTTGGTTAATAAGGTATGAGGAGACGGCGAGAGGGGGAGGGGGAAAGGTGTAGAGGGGGTGGGGAAGATGGAGGGGAGGTCTTTGTTTGCAGGTGTCAGTCATTCGTGAAGAGAGTTGCCGGAAATTGTTTACTGACAAAGATGGCGTTGTGGACAGCAGCTGTTCTATACAGCTGTGCCACTCTAATGCTGTTTTACACATTAGTGCTGTCCTATACAGCGAAGCTGTCCTACACATTTGTGCTGTCCTTTGTTACAATGATGTCCTGTATATCGATGCTGTCCAACACAGCTTTGCTGTACTCTTACACACCAAAGCTGTCTTCGATATCGATGCTGTCCTCCCACACACCCACGCTGTCTTACGCCCCAATGCTGTCCTACGAAACCATACTGTCTTACACACCCATACTGTCCTACCCCCCCCCAATGCTGTCCTACGCCCCAATGCTGTCCTACGCCCCAATGCTGTCCTACGTCCCAATACTTTCCTACGCACCAATGCTGTCTTACACACTTATTCTATCCAACTCAACGATGTTGTCTACCACACAGCTAACCCCGATTTTCTGAAATCATAATTTCAAATACCGCGACACTTGCTCTCCTTGAGACTATTGAGCTGAAAATCAATACCCAGCATTTTGTTTGACCGGGGATGCAAAAAACACGGCCAAGCATCTGTCATGCAACACGTATATCAACACCCCGTCTGTCATA